ACAAATCTACTTGCTGAATAGGACTAGTAGTGGGACGCACAATAAACCTAATTAGGCCGCGGTGCTATGGGACTTATTGACACCAACCACTAAGAAGAAGAAGAAGAAGTACTTCTTCAATAACTTCTCTGTTATTCACCAAACATTTAAATATCCCCAGAAATAAAACATTAAGAATTTAAGTTTCTGATTCTCCTATCAGAAAATGTAATAGCATAAGAGTCATGATGTAAATACCACAACTCATGATGTACATTGGGCAGTACTTTTTAAAATGTTCAAATAATGTTTTCGGCTCGGGCATTGTTTGACTCAGTGTATGAAGAAATGAAAAAATATTCGAATATATTCATTCTGAAACTGCAATATTCACCTTGTTTCAGTAGCATTTCCACTGATTCATAATTATTATAATTATATGTCATTGTTAGGGAATATTAACAACTTAATAACAGTAACACTCAATTGTACAATTTTATCATCCACAAGGTTTTGGGTTTGGTTTGAAAAGGTTTTTTTATCGTATCAATTAAGAAAGTAATACTTGAGAATTATGAAAATCTTTATATATAACCAATATGGATATAGTTTTGTATTGCCATCACTAATAGATTCAATATCAACGAGATCATCTGTTACAATACATTTTATATGATATGTTATATGTTTCAAAAGTCGTTAAGCAGAAATTGAAATTTTCACCCACGCTTCGAATCCAACTGCCGAAACTGTCCACAACCCAGAACCCACTCAAAACGCCTTAAACCGCTGCAGATGATGCCCGATGCAGTTGGTAGACCAACCGTCCTCACGAAAATTTCATTCCAGCTGCGAATGTTTTCGTAAAATCACCAGAAGTGCCACGAAATTCGAGACCGAGTTGCCTTATACACTAAATAGAAAATAACAGCCATATTCCGTGACGGAGAGGTCATCAGCCATAAATCAGCCAAAACCAGATAGTCCAGATGTTGTAATCTACATCCAAGAACGGTCAACGAAAATTGGCGCGGACTCACCATGAAGCGAGACCGAACGTCAACTCTGCAGTTTCATAACTAGAGCAGGAGGCTTTGAACTGTATTATACAACCCAAATTTCCAAAAAGCTAGAAAAATCAATTTTTTGGACGAATTTCATTCATTTTACCAAATTGGCATTGGCATCCGCTCAAGACTTTCTGTGTCTGTGTTGAGGATTTTAAGAGATAAGGCAATGCCAAAAGGGCTTAAAAATAGTGAAATACACACAGAAATAGCGAAAAAACTAGCCGCAATATAAAATAGTCTCCATAATGTCTAAGAACCTCTAAGCAAAATAAAGATCCAAAATGGACAAAGCGGATCACGACTCCCTGTACTCCAAGTATATTGCAGCATTCTGGAGAGTTATCGGAGACGAGAGTCTCGGCAATGCCTCATTGTTAGAAGGATTTCGACGTCAATGACAGTCTTCCCCATGTATGGAAAATATTAATACACAACAAAATTATTGAAATTTTATTGGGACTAATTTTAAAATGTACTGCTATCTACAGATTATCCATTTAACGGGAATTCCATATTCCTTTCCCGCATCAAATCTAATGAAATGTTGTTTTCTGATGCACTATATCAATATATACGTGAATTTTGTTAAAAGAAAATTCACTTCGCTGAAAATTAACGTATTCTGCTAACCAGACACTTTTTATGAACGTATCGTGAAAGTATGTAAATGATCACCTAAAATTTTTATTCTAGAATAAAAATAGAACATAAAATACCACAAAGAAAAAGTAACAACATATTTTCAGACGTTGTATTTACATAATATGTTGCTTGCTTCTATAGAAATTTCCCATTCGCCTGAATACCGCTCTGTTCTTCGCTAGGATCATCTGTCGTCGAAATGTCTCCTTTCAGCCAGAGGTTTGTTGCCAAGTTCATGGCATCTAAAACTTTAAACATATAATAGGTTCTGCCCAGGCATAATACGGTTTACATTGAGGGAAACTTTCGGCCATTAGTTTTATGATCGAATTTACAATTGTTATTTACGATTGTCCGGTGATCATTTGACGTGGTTTGGAAATATTACACTACACATTTGGGTACTGTAACAAGTTTAACGAATTACGTGCTTTAGTTTGAGTATCTTGTGTGGGTTTTAAATGCGTTTCAGCCCAAGTAAGACCCACGCAGAACTAATACACTTATCTGTGTTGTATTATTTCCTAGAAGTGATAGATGTTACATGTGCGTGTAACATTTTAACAAGGCGACTTTGTATATATCCTCTTCAAGTTACTCATAAAATTGAAATGTCAAATTAAAACTATTTATAGCTGCATATAGTTTTTAATGCGATATAATTTCAAGATGTCGTTCTTTAAGTCCCTAGTAGATACAAACTGTACCTACTATATTGCATTAAATACATTATACTTGTATTTATTGCATATAACTCATAACAATGTATAATATAATGAAAATAATGGAAATTTCCAGGTTCAATGTATTACTTCAAAATCCAGGATCAAAGGTCATATATACAAGAAAAGAACATTCCACAGAAGTGGTAGATCAATTATTGAAAGTTGTGTTAATATATTGAAAATGAACCCACAACCCAACGCGACATCAACATGACATTAACACAACATTCATACGATGTATAACCATCATGTGTGTATTTAATACAAGAATCTATTCTCTAAAGTTATCAATTTGCCTCAACGCCAATCCAAGGTCGTTTTAAAGTTGCGAGGTAGGCTAAAAGAGGAGATGGCTTTATTTACGTGGAATGTGAAAGAATCAGATGGTGTTCCTTTTATTTTTCCTCGAGTGTACCGTATCACCATTATGAACAATGGCTATAGGGTTTGGAAATGATTTGAGCGATACTAGACTATTTTGTGAGAGGAGACGCAAATGTAAAATTCTACACTTGCGGCTACCAAGGAAAGGAGAGCAAAAGGCTATGTGATAAGACCACCACTCGTGATCCGCGCATTCTTAAAAGGGGTAGTAGGCGTACATTTAAGAGAAACAGTTCTACGTCATGGAGTGATATTACCTTATGCTTTGCTAATATTATACGCAAAATAAAAAAGTGGTGGGTATCGAAAAAGGAGAATTTGAGTTATCACAATAAGATATTCCTTAAAGCAAGAGTAGGACAGGAAATAATGGCTATACAGATGAAGAGATGATGAAGACAATAAAGAGAGGTTACTCTTCTGGAAGATGTCATGTCCGAAGTTATCAAAGACAGAAAGTTGGTTACGTAGAGAGCAACTTTGAGAAGTCATGCGATGCCATTCTTAAAAAGAAATAGGTACTCAGAAATCCCAACAGGCAAACCGTGTATTAATATGATATAATAGAACTTAGAAGGATATGCTTATGAATTAATAGACAGACTATTAGTGTGAGAACAAATTCTTAAATCGCACTGAAAAGCAACGATATGAGGAATATAAGGAAGGCAAAAGAAATCTTGCTATTAAACAAGTTAAAAATGTGCTGGGATAAGATTTGTAAAGAAATAAATACGGATTCCTTGAGATAGTTTTACCGGATAGTTTCAGGTGAATAATGATTGAGCACTTCAGCAAATTTACTAGATGAAATAAATATAACTATTCGCTTGTCTATTGAACAGCCGCTTAAAGGCGCAGAACTCCCAATAAACGAGTAACAGTGACCATTCTTGCATGAGCACTCACATCTCACCTATGTTATCTTCTGAACCTGTTGATTTTTTAGTTACCAGTTGGGTATTTATTTAGTAATTGATGGGTTAACTACGTCTCACCAGCGTCTAAGAATAACCTAGCATTTTTACGCATGCTTGCTTAGCTGTGATTTGGAATGTATAAAATAGACATTGCGCAAGTGTTCGCCAAAATTAAGTCCACACTCGCGGATTTATCTGAAGCTACCTAATAGTCGAATTATATTAAATTTCATAGATTGGTTACAAGGGAAGTACAAGCTCTGATTTAGTCAAAAGAGATGCACCGAAGGAACGGTGGAGGTAACTAATAAAAACATCGGAAGGACAAAATGGGACAAGACGGATACGTATCTACGTGGTTCTCATTACGTTAGCTGTAAAAATGTATTTAATTCGATCCATGTGGAGGTACTCTTAAAATAACTGGAGTATTGGGAAGTTGTACCCTATGTAATGGATACTGGTGTGAAGCTATACTTTTCCAAGGAAATAATTGGAATAGGCTCTTCTAGCGGGTTTTAGATGACGTGTGTAGTATCCCAGGGGTATGGAACTTCATCGGACGCTTGGGATAGATGACGTCGATGCTGTCGCTTTTCCTCCATTGATGACGAGATGTCTGGGCCTTGAGATAACGGTTCATGCTCTGTTTACACAAATTGAGCGTGAATCGTTATCTCAAGGCCCAGATAAGCCTAAAAATATACTGACACTGGCGATATGCTTTAGTTTACGAGTTTGTTTTATTTGGCAGGTTTTCAACTGAACCTTGGTTTTATGGAGCACTGTCGAGTATAGTACTTTTGTCTATATGGTGTATAGTACTCTTGTCTATATGGTGCTGGGCTAGGGCACTAAATTTATAAATGTGGGGCCTTCTTGGAGAGGCTGACACATTCATAAACGTTAGAAAGCAAAGAATTAGGAAAGGTCACACTAAAGTTATGTGAAAGTCAAGAATGTGATCTTATCGTACTACTTAATTGTTTTTAATTATTTATTAAAGAGTAACTTACAGTGATTAATAATACTACATGTTGCCTAATAAATTTTTATTGCCAAAGGTATATATACAGACATATAAAATATATTTACATATAATATTACAAATATTGCACTTGAGGCCATCGATAGAAAAAATATTTCTATTTTTATTCTTATCGTGTTATGTATTTAAATGAATAACAAATGGGGTAAAAATTACTTAAAAATATATTTATGTAACTAATACTACACTATATATTACATTTTAATAGATATTTTTTGGTAACTAATGTAGATTTTATTATTATCATTCAATTCTTTTTTGGAACTGAAAAATTATTTTTTTCCTAAATTTGTTACAATAATCCAGATTGCATCCATAACAGTTGTACTCACTTTATATAGCAAAATTATTAAAGCCCACATTCACACCTTAAATTAGTTTGTAATTGCAGTCACATTCCTCGGAGCAGTCGTCAAATATTACGTATTTCTAGGACACGTCATCATAAGTCTTTCTGTAGACCTTCGAAGGGCAGACGGTCCAGGAATAAATATAGCAGCTGGAGCCGCAGGAAGATGCGTCAGACTCTGAATCCTGTGGAGGCCTCCAGGTGTTGGAATAACGTCTTCCGAGATCGATCGGTTTCTAGATCTCCTATGTTGAGTATTTCTTGAAGTTGTGTTGAATTGTGCCACGCTTGTGTCCCTGTTCTTTCTCCTTGCTGGCACCGACTGTAAGGAGTCTTCATAACTGCTGCAAAATTATTGAATACATTAATACATTCTTTATGCGTCTTCCGTACTAAACCTAACCTGATCTGACCTAGCATAAATTAACCTAACCTAACTATTAACTACTAAACAAGGTATCGATTTCATGATTTATCTGTTACCTCTTATGGAAATTTAGACCGGCACAATAATTCTAACAGTTCATTTCATATGACGATCCTAAATCTGCCCGTACAACTCTATGCGTATACCCTGCTTCAAATTGTCTTTTCTTTCTCAATACTTACTTACAACTGTCCTCTGAGCTCTGGCTACTGGACTGTTCGCATTGGCAATGCAACGCACCGTCCACAATTCCGGAATCCTGTCCGCTGGAATGCAACGACGTGACGGACTTCTCCATACAGCCCGAGCTCCTGGATCTCTCGCGGAATTGGGGCCTGCGCATCGTCATGGCGGGACAGCTAGTATCGTGGCGATGGAGGTATCCAGTAGGAGACTGCGTCATGTCGTGTACGCCTGCGCCAGTATAGTGGAGGTCCTCCCCGAACGTGGACGGAAAGAGGCCGGCTTTGCCGAGAGCGCCTGCTGCTATTGTGTAACCCAACGGCTGAGAGAAGCTCTTCTCGAGCATTCTAAGCATGCAAAAGAGAAGAAAAGAGGATGTAATAGTGATGTGGACATCTAGCGCAGAAAGTTTGAAAGAAACCCCCCCTTCAATTTGCTTGTCAAACTGTCGATTTCTAAACGATTTTATTATTACTTTAAGATATAGAGTATAGGTACTCGTAGAATGTAACATAATTTCAAGCATCCAACGGGGAAACAAGGGTCTATATGTCACTCCTTCTAGTTTTCGGATCACCGTGGTAAATAATAAAATGTCATTCTTTATAAAGATTCCTGATTCTCCTCAAACTTTTAATAATGTTACTTCCTTAATTTTTTGAAAAATTTAAGAGTTGCCCCAAACTGCCTCAATCTTTTGAAATACAAGTGCCACTGAGACATATTGGTAATTTTAAGAAGATAACATAAAATTTCATTTGTCTGTAAAAAAAGTAATTACCTTATTTTATGTCACTTAGGTTGGGCAATATTATGGTTCTCATAGTAACTATTTAATAAATTAACAAAAATTCATTCAATTCAGATCGAGACTTCTAGGAAATCACAAAATTTTACTTAATATTTCTGTGTCATTAGTATTATGTATTAATAATTATAAATTATAAAATCCTTCTAGGTACTACAACCGTGGACATACTTTCTACAGAGTATTGGCATTTTAGGATACTTCCAGAATTCTAAGATTATAATACCATGCATAAAAACTGAATAAAAATAATATTAATAATTAATTAATTAATGATTCAACAATTCGGTAGCAAACACAAAATACAGTAAAATTTTCTGACCTTCCTTCCAAACGTCTGATATGAATTCATTAAATTTTAACTATTATAATGCCTGTATTCATTGCCTGTTTTTCAAATACTTAACTAAATATGCGAACGTAGCACGTTTTGTCTCATCATATTTCTTTCTATAATTTGTATTAGTACGTATCCAGAAATTGATTCGTGGAAACAGTTCTGGTCGACAGTCAAAAATTGTAGAAAGGAAACCAAGACTTAATCTGCAAACGTCAAAGAAAAGCTATTGTGAGGGAAATTACCGTAGTGTGGAATCGAGGAACAGACATTAACATATCCAAGGAATGTTGTTCTCAGTGAATATATTCTGGTTACGGCTTTTACTAGGTAAAATATCCTTAGGGGCAATTACTATTAACGTTGAAAACTAAATAAAGATTATGCTTTCGTCAAGGTAAAAGAAAAATCATTGGTCGGAATTCCAGAAGAAGGATCGTTTAGTTTGGGTTAAATCAAAAGCTACTTGAACAGGTGAAGACTGGGTTCAAATAATATTCAATTATGAGTGTGAAATTTTCACAAGGGATAGGAAGACCAAAGATCAATAACATCACCGTTAATGCAGTACATATTGGCATATCTCCTAGAATTATGAAGATACAACATCATAATAATTTGGCATCATGTACATTCTCTGTCATACAGCCACAAAGTATCTTATGCTTTACGCATACAGTGAAACTTACAAAAAAAAAACAGCTGGATATAATCATATTAAAGTCATGAGCTGGACAATACGCAACACCTAATTGTCGTGGAAACATTATGACTCCGTATAAAAGTGTCGCCGTTCGCAATGACTCCTAAACGACAATTCCTGACCAGAAAAGAAAAATCCAGGAGATATGAGAACATTTTATTCCAGAGATCCTTAGTCGATTTTATACCATAGACAATTTGTACTGTTATATAGGCCAAAGGAGATGCTACGAATTACTAAGTCACAAGCAAACTCTTCCTTCCGAACATTTACTTGTTACAACATTTTGTTTTTGTTTAATTCTATTGCGGTTTAGTGTTTTATTTTTAATCAATAGCTTCCTCGGCTACTGATTTTGTGACAACCATCACTTTGTATAGTTGAGGTGAATTTGATAACCTTCATTTAAAACCTGTATTAAATTTTTAAAAAATAATGTGCCGTAGGAATATTCAGTTTAAGATCTTAGATTATTTGTATTTTAAAGGATCAGATGGTTGAGCTCCAAACGTAGCCAGGCTCCCATACTTTAAACTATATTAGTTTTTGTCACTACATAATATTGTATACTTTCTCACTAGCCATCGTAATGAATTGAAGACTAAAAGTTTGACAAGTAGATTGATGGGTGGAGCCTCGGTACGTATTACAGATGAAAAATCAGCCAAATTATTTAATTATTTATTTGTATTCCACATCACTACTAACCAATTACTGAAACTACACTAAAAACCATTTTGAAATGAAAATTTCACATGCTTGCTATCATATACATACTTTTAAACACGCTAGTTCACTAAATATTTACAAATTTAATTCAAATTATGTACAATGTGATACAAAAAGAAATTCATGTAAGTGTAGGTGTAAGACTAACATTTGTAACTAGCACTTTTACAACTTTATAACCCTCTGTTTTTCACTGATTTATGAGTAAAATTTACACTTAAATGCAGTCACCTGATATAAGAAATTCTAGCAAAAAATAGGCGAACTTCACGAGAATTTGCAGTTGGAGGGGTGAAAAATGCAATGAGTAAATAAAAAAGTGTGTTATATAAATAATATTCTCATAGAAATACAATGATGAATAAGAGGTCTGTTCAGAAAATATCTGAATTTTTTGAATTGCGCGCTAATATTTAGTGATATTCGGTTGGCAGCATTGCGTTGCGCATAACCTCCTCCGTAAACACATGTTCTTGGATTGTTAATATCACGTGTAGTTTTCTTGATATTGTTATTTGAGTGCAACGTGATTAATGAGAATTTTCCAAATGTACAATTTTCTGGAACAACAATGCAACATAAAATTTTGCTTTAAACTGGGGACAACTTTCACGGAATCGTTTCAACTTTTGAAATACGGAGATGATGCTTTGGATCGTTCACGATTTAAAATTGGTCGCCAGTCAAATGAAGATGATCCTTGATCAGGAAGGCCTTCGACTTCAACGGATAACATCTCTCACGTTCAGAAAGTCAAAGATCTGGTGCGTACAAATCGCCGATGAACTGTCAGAGAAATTGCGGAAGAGGTTAGTATCTCAACTGGATCATGCTATGAAATATTCATTGAAAAATTGAAATGCATCGAGTTGCAACAAAATTTATTCGTCGTTTGATGACCAAACAACAAAAAGAATATCGTGTGGATAATCCAATAAAAGTTGTGCTCGGCTTATAGGCGCCGCAAAAAAAAATCCAAACAGGATGATTTTTTCAGGATTGCTTGGGAACTGCCTCCTGAGTGTCCAACCAAAAGATCACACTCGAACTTCTGGTACAACTTACGCTATGGGGGTGGTTTCTTAAACATTTTTTTTAGAGCAAAATGACAATAAAAGTTACAGAGGATCAAATTTTGAACAACTTTTCCTTATAAAATGTATTTGTATCTCTAATACTTAACGAGTTACTGGGCATTATATGAAAAAAATTGCGCTGCAGTGGTGGTTAACATGTTTTTACAAAGAGTTGGCAAAAGTGGGAGTGGGGCAAGCGGCGTTAGGCTGTCATGTGTTAGCTGACAGGCTGCATCAGTTCATGTTTAGTTTTCATTTGGAATTTGGAAATGACAGCGATGATGACGATATTGATGACGACCCTAAAAACAGTACATCACGCACGCAGGATGATAGTTCAAACATCAATCCGGACAACGTTGAGGAAGAGATGAATTCAACTGAGCCTTCCAGGAAAAGAGGACGATTAAACTGAACCGTTACGAATTTCTACAACTTTTATTAAGGTTATTTGGGGAAACCACTCCCATAGCGCAAGTCGTATCAGGAGTTCGAGTGTGATTTTTTGGTTGGATACTCAGGAGGCAGTCACCAAGCAAATCTGAAAAAATCATCCTGTTTGGATTTTTTTTATAAAATAACATCTTTATTGGATTAGGACGTTTGTCGGCAACTCCTTGAAAAATCTAATGACGATGAAACATTCATTCAAAAGATGATAACGGGAGACGAAGGCTGGGTTTACGGCTACGACATTGAGGCAAAAGTTCAATCTGCTCAATGGATTGTCACTGTTTCTTTGAACAATAATGGAATTGTGCATTTTGAGTTTTTGTCTTAAGGTGAAACAGTGGACTGTGTGTACTGTCAAGGCATTTACAAAAAGACTAGAGCTGTGGCGAGACAACAAATGGTTCTTGCACCATGACAATGCTCCCACACACTTAGTTTTGATAATTCATCAGTTTTGTGGCAAATCAGATTACTGTTCTCTCTCGTCCTCTTTATTCGTCCTTGCGATTTTTTATTATTTCCGAGTGCTGAAAGGACGCCGTTTTCAGACCATTGATGATATCAAAGGAAATTTGTCACAGACTTAAGTCAATTTCCCATGAAGCTATCTAGGTCTGCTTCGCGAAACAGAAGCACCAATAGGAAAAGTGTATGAATATGTATGAATAGGGGAAGAGTGTACTTTGGTGGGACAAGGACCAATAATGTATAAAACTAATAATAAGGTTTAAGAAAATATATTGCGGTTATTTTCTGAACAGACCTCGTATGTACATAAATTTGATTACTCAACCATAAGAATAAATAAATAACTAATGTGTAATTTAAATAATCCAACTTTTTTAACTACTTTTTACAAAATTTGCTATGCGGAATTTTTACAACTAATGGTGTTTGAAAAAGTGTTTCGTATTTTTCGATCTCAATGTCGACTGTACATATACAACAACACAAAATTACAGAAAGAGACAAAATATAGGAATACTATAAACAAACCTTGTGCACGTCTATAAATCCTACTGCAGAGAAACTTTTTTATTTCTATTCTGTTAATGTAGTTATTAAAAATAGTTATAAGGATGATTTGTTTTATTTGTAAATCAATTTTAAAATTTTTAACATGTTCATCCAACAGAAAAAGTAAATAAATTTGAGAAATTTGAAAAGGTTTCACTGTCATATAAAAAATCTAGCAAATGTTCGAACGCCTTACCTTCGCTTTCTCCTTCGAATGCAAATAACGCAGATGGCTGTGGTCAAGGCACCGAAGAACACAACACATCCCAATACGACCACACAGACCTCCAAGGAAGAAAGAAGCACTCTTCTGCTCCTGTGTTGAATCCTCTCGGTTCGTCCACTGACCACCGCAAGGACCTTAGGACCTTCCAATTTGTTCTCTATTTCATTTTGTTTCGATTGCAATACCCTGAAAGTGCTCTGTGATCATTTTTTATTCGTATTAATTTGGGTGTACACCTACTTTTGTAAACGGTCCATGTCGACGACTGTGTTTAGTAGAGGATCTACTGCGTACAAATACATGTCGGTTCTAGAAATAAAGTACAATGATAGTAATTAAATACAAAACATTTGGGATAATTTATAACTGACTAATTTTGTTTTGACTTTGCAACCTCGTTTCGCAACAGAGAGAGAGAGAAAAATGAAATTGAAATAGATCAGCCCTTTCAAAGTAAAAAAAGTAAAAATTTATTATAAGAGCTGTCACATGAGTAAAAAGTCTAGTGACTACCATTATTTAATTATTTATTTGAAAATATACTGTTCTACATTTTTACACACAATTACAGAACAGGAGGGTGCAGAATGGAAATAAATCTAAATAAAAAATTAATGTTTAAAATATAATTCAAGATTCACAGGCCCACAAACAGAACCAGACTACGTGACCTTTATGTTTTTGGGGTCGGTGATTACGATCCCGGTGTCCATATGACCCCATCACGTCTAGATCATTGTCAAATGAAGGTCAAACACATTAACTCGAATGATATCATTTTTTTAACCCCGTATTCTGAAAGATCTAGACGTGATGGGGTCATATGGACACCGGGATCGTGATCAGCGACCCCAAAAATATGTGAGTCACCTAATATGGGAAAATGGACTTTTCGATTTCAGTTTGCGGGCCCGTGTTATTAACGGTACAACTAAAAATGTCAATGTCGCTGTAATAATTCTGCACATAAAATGTAATGGAAAGTTTGTTGAAGTTTCCCGTGGTACTGATAGATTTAGTTTAGCCATTATATCTATACAATCAAGACCAATGTGCACAATTATGTAAAGAAAAATCTGGGAAAAATATTCACGTTTAGCACTGAGAAAGGAAATAAGTCAAGAAGGACCTCCACGGATGTATAAGCACCAAGAGTTTTAAAACGTAGTGGTTTCAAAAATCTTCGTTGAATATTTTCTAAGATATTCATATGAATGTTATAATTGGGACACCAAACAAGTGTCGCAAGTTTGCATCTAACAAAGACATAGGTAGACAAGAATTTTCAGTGATTAATACTAATATAGTCACGATTTCATATAATGAAACCCAATTAGAGATGATTTGCGAGTAAATAATATAACGTTACACTTTATTGCATTGACTGCATCTATGCATCAATTGGATAACTGGTCTTAATTATCCTGGAGACATTTTCAAATCATAAGCATAAATAAAAAAAAGGAACATCTAATACATAAATTACGCCATCTATTCATGTAATTAAATAGTACTGGCCTCAGAACGGAACCCTGAGATATACCGTAAGAAAGCAACAACAACAACAATATTGGAAACAAAGTACTGGCTTCTACCGATTAAATATGATTTAAGTCATTGTAAAAGTTAATTAGACTAAGGATTCCGAAAGAAACTGATAAGTATAAATTAAATTATTATATAGAAATATAATATGAGGGGATCACGAGTAGTATTGTTTTTGTTTAAAAAATATTTTAATAGTACATACTTAAGCTAAAATTGGTTAAATGAATATACAGTTTATCATAAATAGATGTACCTAAAATATTTAACCCAAACTTCTACAAATCAAAACAAAGCAATAAGTTAATACATGTTAAAAATGTGTCATATTTTTACTATAACTCCGTCAGTTTTCAAGATGTTTTGTTGAAACTTTGCACAATGGAGTTTTCGGAACATCAAACATGAATATAAGCTTATTTCTTTAGTTTCGTAAAACACATGTATTTTTTGAGACATCACTTAATGTAAAAAATATATCTATCTACTTATATTTTTACATTTCGTTTAAAAGCACAGTTCCTTAGGAAAGTAATGTTGTAAGGACTTGTCAGTTGCGAACATTTGATTATTTAGGAGAACTCTAGTAATTAAACTTTTTTGTTAAATTCGAAACTAGGTTATATAGTTTTTATGATTTAGACTAACTTACCCCCATTTAAAACTCATTAGATCATCTTCTGAGATACAAACTGTGAGTTTAGCATTGCGGCAGTACATTCAGAAGGTTATATCTCAGCCATTAACTTTTTAGTACAGTTTAATTGATTTAAATCGTAAGAAAAATAATTTTATGTCAACTTTAGCAAAAAGTGAAGTTAATTAGGCTAAAATGTCTCGCTGTCTGTAACTGTAAATTGATATACAATTAAAACACTGTTCTTACTAACTGTGTATTTTAGCCACAATTGGACCTTTTTTACAGTAAATAAGGTGACGTTTCATAGAACTCCTGTTTCCTTAAAATCTCTGTCAACAAAAAAAAAAAATAAAAATAGAAACTGCGAAAAACAAATGACTACTTAAGATGAAAGATAAGACTATTCATATTTGGCTAACCCAAAAACTCCCCTATACCAAATTCCATTAATATATTCTAAAAAGCAACATAAGTTATCATAGATATTTTAAACAAAGAAACCTGTAACTTTTTATATAAATATGTTAGTACTGAACTATGTCAGTTGCTTTGAATCGGATAGGAAATTTTTTAGACGCAAGACAAAATACCAAATTTATATATTTTTTTAGTATTTCAAATAGTTCGTTTCAATTGTTCTCAATCGTTCTCAAGAAAAGCACATTTCACAAGATCGGTCGAACTGTAGCTACTTGAAATTTCAGGTTTTTACTTTTCTAAATTTCCGCTTCGAATATACAAAATATTAATCAAATTGTAGATTAGAATGAAATCCACATTAAAAACAGGGCATGTTATAAAACTATTTATTTTACTACATTTTTCTGATTTGTTCCTATTTCTGTATATCTAAACACTCTTTCTACCCACGTTGTATGGTATGTATCAGTTGAGCCCTATATTATGCCTAATAAAACCATAACTTTTGAACTTGAAAATTTTATTCACCCCGAAGAGAAAAAGGATTTCTTTAGCACCAATAAAACGTGTCAGTAGGAGCAAGGAGCAATCGTATATTATAAAGATATTTATAAATTTTATAAAGGCCTTTTGTAGGGCGCTTCAATCTGAACATAATAATACACGATGTATGAGAATGCCCTAGACATGTCGAAAGCTGAATGATGATTGCCCTGCCTGAAGCTGCTTCCCTCTTATATGACGTATTTGCTTACGATAAAAAAGGTTCTTGCTAAATATTTAAACACTCATAAAATTCGTGTCTGCCATTTATGTCCTTTTCAGAAGCAGATTTACTTTAAGAGCGTACAAGGATTTGCGGATTTAAGATTCGTTGACAATTTTAATGAATTCCTCTAAAGAATTTTTGTAAATTTAATTACAGTGTCTCGAGAATAAAGCTATCGCAAACCTACATTTATAGAGCTTAAGGACGGGATTTTGTACAAAAAATATCGCCCAGCGTGAACGGGACCCCGGCAGGTGCTGCTTTAGCGGCCAACGCCTCAAGGTGTGTTTTTTAACCGAACGACGAAGTCTAATAATTTACGCTGGACGTAATCGGCTCGATTTTTCAGGAGCGGCTCCAATTTGTGTACATACAATCTTATAAGGAAAGAGAGTAAAGATTTTATTAATCATTAATAGATTATCGAGGACAATAATATTTTTTTTATTAAGTAGGCAATAATTTTTAGTTAATAAGGTTAAACAATCTTATAATTACCATTCCTTTATTATAAAAGCAGATATAATTTTTAAAATTACATGTAGTTTCTTCTTCAAGAGCTTAAAAAACGTATAACAGGAACAGTCAACAGTCTAATGTTTATATTTTCACGTTAACGATCCGATACGTAAATTAACTGCTATTTTCAGTAAAAATGATATAACTTGAATTATTTTTTTACTTTGGTGAGTCGTATTAATTTAAAAACACTGCCTAATTACTAAAATATATAGCTACTTATATATACTTATACTAACTTGCTACTAATTACGTTTGGAGAATAATATGTATAGTAGGGTGGCACAAAAAAAAAGATTTTTTTTTTGTCGTGAAAATATGATAGTTTATCATGTTTTAAGAGCTCCCTCAAAAAATCAGCTCAAAAATTTTTTTTAGAGGTCCCAAGATTTTTAAAAATTTCCAAAATCGTTAAAAATTGAATTTTTTATCTTTCAATTTCAATTCAATAAAAAATAAATTATTAGTTCGTTGATATTTATTTTTTAGAGATCGCTCGAAAACATAGATACACTACTTTGAAAATTAAAATAATTATGAGTGACCTTTAGAAATTAAAATATGGATTTGAAACTTTCAGAATCGAGATTTTTTTCAACCTAGAAAATGATAAAAAAACGGGAAAAAAATTAAACACAAAAAAATTAAATTTGACGATTTTGGACATTTTTAAAAATCTTGAACGACCTCTAAAAAATTTTTTCTTTGACCTGACGTTTTGAGGGGGCTCTTAAAACATGATAAACTAATATATTTTCACAGGAGACACGAAAAAAAAATAATCGTTTTTTTTGTGGCCCACCCTAAATTGTATAGGCATAACATATTATATTATATATTATTATTGTATCTATCAGGGAAATATTATTAAAATTTTAAGTTATTATTAACAAGATGTGTAATGGAATTCCCCTAGCAGGTAAGACCGTCAAGAAATTGTTCTTATCTAATTCCAATATAATGATTCCCACTGCAAAAAATGACTGAGCAAGATACCGTTGGACTGGAATATAATTACTGGTAAATAATATAGGTACATATAATTTCATAAGGGTGCATAAGGGTGAAAAATTTGAAAAAGTCAATTGAAGAACCATACATTCAAGGTATGCACCAGGCTCGGTCCCTACGCAGCAACTCGGCATTGAAATATTTGAAAAACTTGTTCCCATATTTATTTAGCCATACCCATACAGAGGTCTGGTGGGACTAAACGTGCAGCTGGTAGAAATGTATACGCCCAGTTGAAGAATGCGCGTGCGGGCAAATAATGTCCCATACAGTTGCTTCGGTCAACTGCGTCGTGAATTTCAGTTCTAGACAAGTAGCTTGGCAGTGCAGTGCGGGAATGCGGAATTTGATGTGATTCAGATAATTTTAATTTACTATAGGTACCTTCTATCAATCATTCATATG